CAGTTGAGTAAATTTTTTTCAGGATTCTTTGATGAATAGAAAGATCCAAAGATCCGTATTTATGTGAAATAAAAAGATTTTGTAACATTATACACTATACCATTCAAAAGCTTAGTCTGTATAATTTTTATTTTTTTGTAAAATAAAAGCTGGACGCTTTTGTCCATTTCCTCGTACGACTTTCTGCGCGAGAACCCCCCTCAGGCTACGAGTATGAATGAAACATACACTGCACGGAGTGTTTCGCGCTCCGCGATGTTCATCTCGCCTTATTCTGGGTCCGAATAAAACATCAGATCATGCACAGACTATCCTGTCTCTTTGAATTTAAATCTATATTTATTCACACCAGCTCTTGAAAACCTCTATGCGAACACACTTGCCCGAAAAAGTGCGGGGGACGAATTTACGTGATATTTAAAGTGGGGGGGAAACGTCCCCCGCGTAATCTACGCCCCTGCATGTACATAAATGTGGTGTTCTTTATGTTCAGATCGCACCTGCAGAGAGTCCTGACGTCACTCAGAGGATGGTCATCATCACTGGCCCACCAGAAGCTCAGTTTAAGGTAAAGGAATAAAATACAAATTTAAAATCCCAGTATTAATTAGTATATGACAATTGAAAAAATATTTGAATTGAATCTTTATGGCCTTTAGTTCTGTTGTACTCTATAATGCCCCTGAACAATGGACACTGACTTTGCTTCTGAGTTTCAGGCCCAGGGCAGGATATTTGGGAAACTGAAAGAAGAGAATTTCTTTTCTGCAAAAGAGGAAGTGAAGCTGGAGACACATATAAAAGTGCCCTCTTCAGCAGCTGGGAGGGTCATCGGGAAAGGCGGCAAAACAGTGAGTTTTGTAATAAAAGTTGAGTAATAAAAAACTTTCCATTCAAAGGTTATTCACTTTCTAATGCCAGACATACTATAGGATTCTGATTCACAATAAACTATCTGTTTACACATTTTCAAAGAACAAGATGTTGTGTAGCACATCCAATCACAGCTATTTTCTCATCTCAGAGTCAATATTCCTTTCATTGTGCACCACTATAAATGGTTAAGTCAAAAATGGGTTTGCAAAAGTTAACAGTTATTCTGAATCCATAAAACATTTAAAATAGCTTCCCAAAAAACAATGAAATGTTTATTGTTAAAGAATGGGAACATTGTTGATTAATCAAAGTTAATGTGGTGTGAAGAGTTCCTGAGAGAGCTAATACATGCCACCAAAGCAAATTATGGAAATGTTGTTATTGTCTTTGATAATCGTTTTGTATGTACCAGACAATTTTTTCTGTGTAATTTAGTCAGCAAATTCACTAAAAGCACTGAAATGCGGGTTAAAGTTTTTTTTTTTTTAAAGGGGAAAACCTTTATTATGGCAAAAGTTTGGTTATTATGTTATATAACTTACTTTTTAGTCTAAGGCTTTGAAGAGGACAGGTTGATCCAAATCAATGTGACCTGTTTCAGTCAGGATTATTATATGTTTCATGAACTGTACGTTTCGCTTCTAGGAAATATTTGGCTGTATTCACAGTGACTCATTTGTAGAGTAGACAGGGGTTGCAGTTGTTTCCCAAGGGCATCATAGCAGCTTGGTCTTGACGTAGGTCATGTACAAATGAGCAACTGGATATGTGCTGCTTGTTCTTGTATGAGTCTGATTGACACACAGCGTTTGCACATTTTGACACAATTGACATTATTATTAGGTGTACTGTTAGGTAGTTTCATCATCAGCCTGTTTCTCTAAACCTGTTTCAGGTTAATGAGCTGCAGAACCTAACCAGTGCAGAGGTCATAGTGCCACGGGACCAAACCCCTGATGAGAATGACGAGGTCTTTGTCAAAATTAGTGGGCATTTCTTTGCCAGCCAGGTGAATTATACACCACACATCACAACAAATGTGAAAAGTGTAACTTTCTGCTGTTTTGGGCTAAAATTTCCAGCTCCAGTAACTACTACAGAGATCGATCCTAATCATGCGACTTTGTATCCTAACCAGCAGCAAATGTGTGGTTTTTTTTTCCATGCTAATATGATGTTTTGCCCTAACCAACCATGACCGTCAACAGCACTGCATGAGGAAATATGTATTCAGCCGTTTGGTCTTTATTTCTGTTCATTCTATTCAGCTGGGCGGCCCTGGCTACAGTCAGATCTCATTGGTCCAACATAATGCTTGTAATTGTTTTAAACATCAAAAATGTTCTGACTGGCTATGATTTTTTTCACACATGTAATTTCAACATTGATAACTATATATATGATGTTTAAGGCCAATGTAACATTTATTTCACCATTAAATGTGATATCTTGGCAACTAGTGTATAACTTTTATACAATAGTTTTCACTAGGTTTGTGGTCATTTAAATAAATTAATACTTTTATTTAGCGAGAACATCAATTTTTTTTTTAAAGTGACAGTAAATATATTTATGTTAAAAAACTTTCTATTTCAAGTAAATGCTGTTATATTTCCTGAAAAATTTTTTATTTTCCACAAATATATTTAGTATAATGACTATTTTCATCATTGATAATATAATAAATGTTATTTGAGCAGCAAATCAGCATTTTAGAATGATTTCTGAAGGATTATGTGATACTGAAGACTGAAGTAATAGCTGCTTAAAATTCAGCTTTGCATCACATGAATGAATTAAATTTTAAAATGTTCAAATAGAAGACTATTAGTTTAAAGTGCCCCTATTATGGGTAATGAAAAGTTCATATTTTGGATTTGGGAGTCCCCAACAACAGGTTGACATGCATGCAAGGTCAAAAAACACTTTCATTGTCTTATAATATGCATTTATTTTTACCTTACTTGCTCAACGACTCCCAAACGATTTGCTCAACGATTCATTTTCCAAACCCCTCCTTTGCATGATGCTAATCTGCGATGATTGGTCAGATTCCTCTCATTTTCATTTCATCATGCCTGTAATGCCTGATAAAGCAGCGTTTGTGAGCGCAGTGCTGTTTTCTGTACAGCCGTTACCGGGAAAACCGGTATTTTTACCGCTCCTAAAGCGGCACCTAGTGGCAAAGAATGAATTTGCATTTTCATTCAGACCAACCGAAAAGACCAACAAGTGGGCGGGCAATATGCTAATGTTTCATGTTGACATCAACATGAAACGGCTTGGGATTCGTTTTAAAAAGGACTCGTTTCAATGATTCAGAGTCGACTCTTTCTTTTGAGAGACAATAACTTTATAACACGGTGCACTTTCAGATTAAAAACTTTGCAGGATGTTTTCATTCACTTTGAGCTGTGTTACACACTGCATGAAAGGTAATTTTTCAAAAATCCATAATAGGGGCACTTTAAATTGTAATAATGTTTCACTATATTACTGTTGTAACTATTTTGATTAAATAATTGTAGCCTTGGTGAGCATAAGAGTCTTCTTTTCAAAATTAATTGTACCAAGCCTTCTTGAATGTTCTGCTTCTTGACCATGTAAAGGCTAAATGCAGTAAATAAAATCACCTCTTATTGGTCAATGACACATGGCAGTGACAAAACATTAAATCTTATAATGGCTTATAGCATCACCTTCATTCAGCCACCTCTCTCTTATTGAAAAGAAACTCAAAGTGAACATTAACATTATAAATGTTTATTTATCTATAAACATACTCTCCTCTGGTCCCACAGACTGCACAGAGGAAAATCAGGGAGATCATCCAGCAGGTGAAACAACAGGAGCAGAAGCACCAGCAAGGCGCCCCCGTGACACACCAATCCAAGTGACCATCAGGGCAGCCCCAGCGGGCACCTGCCAATGAATGTAGCCCTCCCAACTGGAATCAGACCAGACCGGACGAAGGGGACCGGCCGGGCAGACCAGCAGCCATGGGATCAAAACCAAAGAACTTCTTTCTGGGGGAGATGAAGGAGCCACAGACAGAAGGGCTCTGAGTGCACTGCCAGCTTGGGGAGGGAGGGGGGAAGAAAGCGCAAGGAGGACAAGCGTACCTTTTATTGTTCAAACACACCCTGAGTATGAGAAGAATAGGTATGCGGCGTCTGTTATCAAGACGGGAAACATCACGGTCGCCCCACGTAACAATTTCTTTATAAACGTCTTATTTTAGGTTTAATCTAGGGCTAACACAGATAAGAAGCTCTATTAACACGTGTACACTCATGAATTTTGACTGAGTTGTGTTGCTGTTTTCTCGGGTAAGTAAAGTGTGGGTGTGCACTAGCAGTTGGCAACCAAGATTTATTTATTTATTTTTTATTTTTTTGATGCCCAGATTGCGATTTCAACGGTCAGCAGTATTCTCACCAGTACACTAGAACAAATATACTGTTATATCTGAAGCAGAAGCACGATTCTTCTTGTTTTGCACGAGCCATCGGGCATGTAGTGCACATATGCGGTTGCGCACGCATATAACATTATGTTTTTCAGATTTCTTTGATGATGGTACAAGCAAGTTGTACCACCAGTACACTAGAACAAATATACTGTTATATCTGAAGCAGAAGCACGATTCTTCTTGTTTTGCACGAGCCATCGGGCATGTAGTGCACATATGCGGTTGCGCACGCATATAACATTATGTTTTTCAGATTTCTTTGATGATGGTACAAGCAAGTTGGGAAATGTAAATGACAGAACGTTTACTCATATCTTAGCCTGTTTGCATTTCGGGACACATCATCCAGCTCAACGGATTCCTTGTTACTTAGCCTGTGCGTGCCAACGGATGCCGTTAAAACATTTCTTTCTGTGCATATCTCATTTTTTAGCTTTTATCATTTGTAGTTTGTTGTTATTTCTGTCCAGCTCTTACACTCCTTTTATTTTTACACCAGTGTTTTTGCAGCTTCTGCATTTAGTCATTTCAGTGCCACCGCATTCTTGTGGCGGCAGTCATTACGAGACTGAGTAGGTATGTGGTAGATGTGAATTAGGAGTCGACACCCCTTGTTTGCTTTAGGGGGTATGAAAAGAATATAAAGCAAGCACCAGCGTCTGAAAGACAGCGCACCTTTACTGGCTTGGGCAGAAGCGAAATCGAATGTGCACCAAGAATTCTGCCTTAATCTATGCTGAAAGGAAACAAAAAAGATGGGCGACTGAAAATGTGATTGGAGGGTCAGGTTGATGTGGGACGAGGAGGCACCTTATGATCTGTGGTACACACACAGCCGCGTTTGGCTTTAAATCTCTTTGTCAGGGAGCTTTCTAAACGGCATGACAGCTGTGAATGTACAATAAGCAGCCTTTTAGAAAGAGCACCACCCTGTCATGTTCAGTAAGCTGGTTGGTCGGCGAGATCGTTCTTTTTTTTTTTTTTAACAGATACTCTGGTTGTTTTGGGAAATGGATCGACTGTTCCAACAGGACGTGCAGGCATGGATATCCCTTTGTGCTTTATTTTCTTCTTCTTTTTGACCATGGAAGTTTGTGGCCTTAAACGTCACCAGTCTATATCATCACAGACAGCTCCCTCGCCCAATGAGAGCTAAGCCTCATTTTTTTTTAACAGATACTCTGGTTGTTTTGGGAAATGGATCGACTGTTCCAACAGGACGTGCAGGCATGGATATCCCTTTGTGCTTTATTTTCTTCTTCTTTTTGACCATGGAAGTTTGTGGCCTTAAACGTCACCAGTCTATATCATCACAGACAGCTCCCTCGCCCAATGAGAGCTAAGCCTCATCTTCCAGACGCAAGGTTTATGCCAATACGCACAGCTTCCATTAGTGTATATGCGTGTGTGTATATAGATATATATATATATAAAGAGAGAGAAATATTTATGAATATATTTTTTTCCTATTTTGTGACGAGAGCTATTAATAAGAAACAAACAGAAAAAAACAAGTCTTCTTTGGTGGAACACTGCCATGTTATTCTGAAGGGAAGTGTTTATTTTCTTGAAAGTAGACTATGAATATTGGTAGTATACTAACAGTAAGAACAGTAATGAATTACCGCAACACTTTGATCAGAATGTGATCGATGCGCATGTCAGTATTGCGATCTACCTCATGTCAGGGTACCTCAGTCCAATCTTAAATTTCCCCTTTTTTCTCCCCACATTTTGTATGCCTTGTAAACTGAAAGTTTTGAACGTTTTCTTTTTATTAATAATAAAAGAGATCAAGAAAAGTCTTCAGGTCCATCTGGCAAAAACAAATGGATTTTAAAGCTTTCAAAACTGAATGCGAATTCAGAGACAATGAATATCAAGTACAATGGCTTAATTCAAAGCATTCTCCAGGAGCAACTACTTGGTCTGAAGCGTAAGCCAGCTTTCTCTTTACATTTTATAAACATGAGTCCAAATTCAGGAGTTACAGTCAGACCAAATTTTTTAATTAAGGCTTTTTTTTAATCAAGGTCTTTCACAAAACAAAACCAGGCTGATATGAAAAAAATAAAAATAAAATAAAACAGCTCTTTTTGATGTAATCCACAGAGTAACTGTTTTTTAAAAGTGTTTATTATAATCCCACAAAAATCACAAATGCAGGTATTTTTGTTGCCTCAGATCTGCTCTGACTGTAGTGGATCTGTTGCCGGTTGCAGTCTTTGTGTGTTACCGCTAAAACAACAACCCAGATAGCACATGTACGTCTGCAAGATGTCGGTTAAAGATCTTTTGATCTGGAAAGCATCTACTGTGTACAAACATCTGACAGACGTCTTAGATGTCAGTTTAGCATACATTCTAAATCATAAACATCTTAAAGACGTCTAATGTCTATTTGACATCTAAAATGAAACGTCCTATATACATACTGCAGATGAGCAAACACTCTAAAAAAAATACGTCTTCCAGATGTAAATGCAGACGTCAAATAGACGTCTCCATGATGTACGTGTGCTATCAGGGAGGCCTATGTCAATCAAGATGGAAGTCGGAGACGTCTATTTGACGTCTGCATTTACATATGCAAGAGTGTTTGCTCATCTGCAATACGTCTATAGGACGTTTCCCATCAGATGTCAAATAGACGTTTAGAAGATGTCTTTAAGATGATTTAGAATGCACGTAAAACTGACATCTTTTAGACGTCTCTCAGGGGTTTGTACACAAGCAGATGCTTTCCAGATGAAGCGATCTTGTGCGAGTCCCAGATAGCACACGTATACGTCTGCAAGATGTCTGTTAAAGATCTTTTGATCTGGAAAGCATCTACTGTGTACAAACATCTGACAGACGTCTTAGATGTCAGTTTAGCATACATTCTAAATCATAAACATCTTAAAGACGTCTAATGTCTATTTGACATCTAAAATGAAACGTCCTATATACATACTGCAGATGAGCAAACACTCTAAAAAAATACGTCTTCCAGATGTAAATGCAGACGTCAAATAGACGTCTCCATGATGTACGTGTGCTATCAGGGAGGCCTATGTCAAATCAAGATGGAAGACAGTAGAAGGTCACTATGTTAGGTCCAGGTGCGTGTACTTGCAATGGCTGGTTTGCTTTCACACAGTAATTCACATGATTTGTCTGTGGACTGAACTGCAAGCTGTCCCACTCCAGTTTTAGTTCTAACATTTAATCGTATTTGATAGAGGCGTGTTACTGTAGACCTGTGTAAATTGTTTTTTACCTACTGAAGCAACCCGTCCACACTTATCTGCAAAGAGTAGCAAAAGATATCAGGTGCCGAAGGTGTTTCTGTTAGTAAAGGTTAGAGGCTTCTGCTAGATCAGGTCCGCTTTGGATTTCTAACTAATTTTTCACTCAAGAAGCCGAACACGGTTCTTTTTGGTTCTTGACTCTGTGAAGGCTTGTAGCTAGACGAGGCCGTTTTTCCCCCTGAATGATGCTTATTCTCAGGTGTTTGCTCACTGATGGAGTTCAGGTTGTGTAGCAGTTTGATAACTCAGATCACTTTTAACTGTTATTGTAACTGTAACACGCACCACGCTGTCGATAGACACCTATCTAATGTTCTACAGTGGTTCTTAACTTTTTTGAAGAGTTTGTATTTCGAAGCTTTGTCAGGTGTGCATCAGTCTTGCATCAGTATTTAACTTTACGGAAGCATTAGTCGATACGTGCATTAACTATCATCACACTGTCATATTGTCTCTGTAGTCTGGTAATTAAGCTGTCTTGCTATACATTATGATATCCTGTAATGTAACGCTAGGAAGAGTTGAGGTCTTAGCATTAACTTTAGGCCAAAAAGTCATGGCTAATACAAGTCGAACGAATCAGGTCAGTTTAGGATAGCAGTTGTTTGTAGTGTTGGCATGACATCTCATCGTAGTTTACTTTGGGCCCTAAAGCTTTTAGGGTGAATGGAGACAAAGTAGGTGCTGTTCTATGTTTATTTTTTGATATTAGAATAGACCACAGACACACAGCTATAGTTGCTCACAGTATGACGGCACCGTTCTAGTCGTGAACTCTGGACGAGAGCAGGAAATCAGAGCGATGCATGAGAAATCATAGGCTGTGAAAACTTCTTTGCGCCTTTACAACGGCAGATCCATTCCTACGCAGCTCTAGCTTCTCACGTTAGTTCCTTTCGAGCGATGTGAAACAGACTGGGCTCGCTGCACTGCCTGCCGTGTCCCCTCAGCTGGATTGTAGGTGGGGTGGGGTGGGGTGGGGACTGAGAGCTGAACCTTTTTCCTTTTTTTTTTTTGCTAACAACCATGTTGTTTTGAAATGTAGGTGAACTGTACTGCTGATCAACATGGATTTGAGCAATAAAAATTCTTTATAAAATTCTTGTCTAAAGCTCATCTTCTTGGACAGGGGCGTCCAATCCTCCTCCTTTAGGACCACTGTCTGGTGGTGTTTAGCTTTAGTACTAATATAACACACCTAAACCAACTTATCAAGGTCTTCCGTAATATTAGGATGTATCTGCGATACCTCCCGCACCCTCATTCACTATTCCTTACATTACTCAACTAGTCCACTGAATGAGTGAATGAAAATGAGCTAATTTGAACACTGTGTGCACTGAGGTGCTGTGGACGTATGTAAGTGCACTCAATGTCCACTATGGTTTCAGACGGAATAGTGCATTATATAGAGCTACATGATTAATTAAAACCTAAATCGTAATAATATTGATATCACCATAAATATTAGTGTTGTAATTTTACTGTTATAATCTAAAAAAAATTTATAATCTATTTTTCTTAAAAACTCAGTTTTACATTGAAATATTACAATAGTATTTTTATTTAGTTGTAATGATTATTACTACAGTTGTTTTATTTTGTATCCATATTAATATCAAAATTGTGCAGCCCTACAAACAAGCACATTTTTTAAAATCAAAATTATCCGAAAAATCGCAATTAAATTCTTAACCAAAACTGTGCAGCCCTAGCACTATACAAGGATAAATGCAGAACATTGCCTGGTCAGACAAATGCACTAATCATGTGATGGCATTTTTTCTTTAATTAAAAAACGGCATTCATAACATTCATCAACTGCGT